TTCATAGGTCTACTTGCTTGTATTATGCTGTAGGAATTATCAAATTTTATTAAAGTCAAATGTAAAATAACACATTTCGATAAGTGTATGCTCCATGAAGCAGTGAAACCGAATTGATACAGAAGACTATATAAGTTATATGAAACTTATGGTGGCGCAAACTCTATGAAAATCAATACGCACTTCAATGCCTAATATTCCGAAGTACAAAATGATAGAACGCAGATTGCTATGTCTAATTGGACAAGCTATCTCGTGTTTCTACGTAACATCAAGTGAAGATTGTATGTATCATAAAATGCCATAACCAACGTACTTTATGGTGTCTCCATTCATACAACGCTAACGCTATTGCAGCTATGGCATTTCAAGAAGCAACGTACAAGTAAATGAATGAGTTAATAAAAGTCAGACCTAATAACATATAATGAACTTGCAAATAAAAGAAAATAACTGTCGCACGGCACAAACAATCACAAAATCTTTATGTAACTTCAATTAGGAACATTCGGGATAATATAAATTTGTATTAATATATAGTACTAACAGAAGAATGAATTAAGTAGTATCCAACATCAATTGCTAATGTAGCTCAAGAAAATGCCAGGTGCAGCTTGTAACATGTATCGACACAAACTACATAACTCATAAATAAAATTAGTCCAATTAAGTATTCATATCTATGGTACTAACACATCAAATAAGAAAAGTCAGATAATAATCTTAAACTACTACTATCCCTAAACTAGTATATAAAAATCCAAGTACAAACATCCATAACAAGAAACAACCTGCAGCTTGTTTCCACTGCAATTTGTAATTTAAGAGATCTCAATGTATAAGGCCAATGTAGGATCCTAAACCTCTAATGGTACTAACATTAGGCTACAAATCTTACACTCGTTGAAATTATGTAAAAAATAAGTCAAATATGAATAAAGTAGCAAACTCCAGGTGCCCAGCCGTTTGTCAGCTTTCAACATTTGTACATTTAATCAATTAATAGGCTAATTTAGTATTCTAAAATATGGCCTAAACATTAGGTACAAATATGGCTTATGGACCTACTGAAATATTAACCGGAAGTAGCAATAAACACTCAAAACCAACACTAATCCACAAAGCCTAAGCTCCACAGATTAGTGATTTCAAACTGCAATTTTACACAAAAAAATATATCGGGGCAATCTTTCAATTTATAATCCAATAGGTGAGTTCAAAGCTCATAGACAGCTAAACAATATAGAATAAATTCTTACCACGCTAATCTCATCGGAACTACAAGGCTCAAATCATTAGAATTACTGGTAAGTTCAACAACGTCAGCAGTGAAATCCAATACAATCATAATTAAATGCATCCATGCTTATTCATATCCAACTATTAAAACATTCAGAACAATATACTTATCATTATCATCAACTACACATATTCATTCAGAGATTTGGTAAACAAAAAGATATTACAAACTTAACGATAAAACAAACTCTTAGCTTCTTTGTCGCTCCATTGGAGCCTACCTCTCCTATCATAATAAACACTGATTCGACTCTCTCAATGCAACGACTCGATTCATTAGGATGTCACAAATAACCCCATGAAAGGAAATAAATTAATAACCCCACTAAGAGGGTAGCAAAAACAATCAAGATCTACAGATCTGAGAGTCTAAATCTAAAATTTATTCCAAATGATTATAGGTTTAAAATTATTAGAAAGAGAACTAAACAAAATAAAGAAAAATGATAGAGAGGGATGAAAAGAAACCACCTGTGATAGTCTTGTTTGATTGGCGATGGTTTAAAACATAAAATTTAAAAGAACACAAGAAAGAGAGACTCGGAGAGAGACGGCTACGTTTCTAAAGATAAAATGTATTTATTATTAGTAATTCAATTTGGTATTCGTTTCATAACGTACGATATGGAGTATGCTTTTATTGACACCCATTTTTTAAATGATATTATAAATTGATTTAAATATTATATTAAATTTATTTTTTCCCATTTCTAACTTTATAAAAATCAAATTTTAATAAAAAAAAGAGCAAAAAATTACGTTTATTTATCAACTGAATCAAATACGATAGTATTTACTTATAAGTTGTGGCTCAGTTTGCAACACAGGCTGAGTATGTGGGAAGAGCTCTCATGTTCGGTCCTCACTAAACACACCTGCATAGAGGAGCGAAGAGGCTTAACTATGACTAAGTCTTAAAACGGATTAAACGATACCTGATAATAAGGTCCAGATGGCGGTTTAAAAAAAATTATATATAAATAAATCCTTTAAATTATCTTAAGTTTTTATTTTTCGCTCATGTATTTTATATTATTTGTTTTAAAGTACAATTATGAAATCCCAAAATTTGAGAACCTTTGTCTAATATTAATTTCCTTTCTTTCTCAACTTTTTTGGGCCCCAGTATTCAAATCAGACAGTTAGGCAGCTGAACTAAATCAATCCTTGAGATTTTTAATACATTCAAGTAAAGGATTTATGAGAATGATTTTTTTTACTCATAATAATTAGATCCGCGAAAATAAACTTTATTTTCATATAAACTTTATTTACAGAGTCAAAGATTTAAAATCTAGCGTCGTGACTATCGAGTCAGGAAGCGGCTTGTGAAAGGCAGACACATCAAGCTCATGAAATGCATTGAAGTAAAGGGTAGGCGGCAAGCGTCCACATGCTTAGTATGAGAAGCATGCCTTCATCACATTTTTTTTAAAAAAAAAATATTTTACTTTAATTTCTTTTATTTGAAAAAAGTATGCAGTTTTAAAAATTGAATTTTAATTCCTCAATTGTACCACAAAATTATATAAAGGCTTTGGTATTAAAATGGAATGGATATGTAATTAATTTTTTATCTAATTGCATATTACCCTTCAAGTTGGATTTAGGTTCAATTTGGGACCATATACCTCCAAACATTTTTAAGATTTATTTTTTTACCCCATAACTTCTATTATATATTTAAAAACTATATTATTTTTATTTTTAATCCCTCCGTGTTTGTAATTTAGTTTCATCCCCTATTATTACCTAAGGGTCTGTTCGATAAAATTAAATATTTTGGTAGTTTTTAGTCATTTTAGTAGCGTTTAGTTGTTAGTTGTTCGAGTAACTTTTCATGAAATGCTAAAAGCTAAACGTTACATGAGTTAATTTTCTATAACACGTTACCTTAACTTCTAAATGCTAGTCCAAATGCTATATTGCCGTACACTATAAAAAAAAACGTTTAACATTTTCACCATTCAAAAAGCTAAAAGTTACTCAAAAAAATTATTGTCGAACACCGTCTAAATGATATTTAAAAAGCAATTAAAATTGAATGATAAGTTCCTATTCAAAACTATTCAGAGAGGTCAGGATTCGAATCTTACTATCAGTGTTAAAATTCCTCCAATAACAATTATCCTCCAACTTGTAACTCTTGTAACACATGGAAAAGAGAGATTATACCTATTTAATTTTGTCAAGGACACAAGAAAAAGGTGGAAGACATGTACGTACGTTACAGTAACATTTTCTGGTTTATCACCAGTTTATTTTTTTATATTGATTGGATTAATAGACAAAGGAGCTTGGTTAGATCGTTAAACGACCTCGATCCTTTCGGTAAAGGTAAAAATACAAATTTGATATCTAAAAGCGTATACAAAAACTCATACGCTCTATCCAAAAGATTACACCTTCCAGTTACTTAAAAAAAAAAAAAAAAGGACATAAGAGAAAAGTGAAGATCACACTGTCCTTTCTTCCCACGCCAGTTAAGATACTTGTCCCCTTGTGCAAATCCTTTGGTAGAATGGTGACAATAGAGTATCATTCACAAAAATATATCAAAGAATCTCAAATGTTTACTAATCACCAAATAGGAATATATACAGTTTTGTATTTTACTGAAGTAATTAATTAATAATTCAATTTCAAATTAAATTACAATTGAAGAAGAATAAAGTTTCTTCGTACCTCTTTTTTACTTTTCTTCTTATAATATTAAAAAAAAATTAAAACGGAAGAATTTAATTCCATAAACTTTCAATAATTTTCTTTCCTTAATATACATTTGTTAAAGATTTACCTACACAGTTTGTACAATTAGTGCAAATAAGAGCATGCGTTTTTGTTTCCGTGATATTTAGATTTTTTAATAAGCACACAATTGTTTTTATTTTTTGGATACATAGAAGGTCCAATGGATTGAAATAACTTTATAGGATACATAGCAGAGGACAATGGACTATACAGCGGAGAGTAACAGCCTTCCTATCTGAATAACATTCACTAAATTGATAATAACTTTTATAGTGGAGAGGAATAAAACTCGAGACCTCAAACTCGCAACATCTTTTACAAGAGCTAGAAAGACTAACCAGAGTACACCTGGTTGGCAGGGTTCAACCAATTATTAAATTTTTTGATACTAATAAAATTAATTTAAATTTTTTAGTATAAAGTATATAATTGATGGAATCTTATTAAAATTAAAAAAAAATGAAGAAAAAAAAAAGATTTAGTAGAAGAGAAAATTAGATAATGTGAGACTAAGATGTATTACCACACTTCCGACAACAGGCTATAAGATGGGTTAAGAAAGCCCAAAAACCATCTATTTTGATTACTAAATAGAGTAATAACGTGTCAACCAACCATTACCCTTTAACTCAGGTTTAATCTAACTTGCTAATTAGCTCTATAGCTATAGATTATTAACCATGGTGTTTAATTACACTAATGTACTCGATAATGATTGCTCAGTTGATGGAAACACAATAATAGATATATAGGAAAAAAGTATTAGCTATTGCTAATAGTACCATTAAAGGAAGAAAATAATGTCATAGCAGAAAAAAGAGAGGCTAAAGCACTTCCATTGGACCCATATCATGTCTCCTCACTAGACCAAGATGATGTGATTTTTATATATTTTTCTTTAATTATTTATTTTTTTATGAGGAAAAAAAAAATCTCTTCCTCTTGAGTCTTGATCAATATTTCTTTCTTTCATCTTCTCTAGTCCAAAATAAAATATTTATATTCTTTTCTTTTCTTTTCTTTTTCTTTCTTTCTTGAGATATACTAGAAACTCACTGTTTCTAGTGATCATGTCAAGTAACAAAGGGAAAGATATAGCAGAAGGGTCATCAAGATCAGGTGGCGGTGGTAACGGTGGTGGCGGTAACGGTAATGATCAGCAAAACCCACCTCCGCTAAGCCGGTACGAGTCACAAAAACGGCGAGACTGGAATACTTTTGGTCAGTACTTGAGAAACCAAAGGCCACCAGTTACATTAGCTAATTGCAACGCCACACATGTTCTTGATTTTCTTCGATACTTGGATCAATTTGGGAAAACGAAAGTGCACTTACAAGGGTGTGTGTTTTTCGGACAGCCGGAGCCACCAGGCCCTTGTACTTGCCCTCTGAAACAAGCTTGGGGTAGCCTTGACGCGCTGATAGGCCGCCTTAGAGCTGCGTATGAAGAAAATGGTGGGTTACCAGAGACAAACCCATTTGCAAGTGGAGCTATCAGAGTTTATCTTCGTGAAGTCAGAGACTCGCAAGCTAAAGCAAGAGGAATTCCTTATAAGAAGAAAAAGAAGAAGAGGAATATCCCTATTAAAGCTAGTAATGAGAGCTCAAGTTTTCCCATGCAGTAAATCTTGTTTGGTTCCCTAGAAAAAGGAAAACGATGGTAATCAATTATTTTTATTTTTATTTCTATAGTTATGGATCTACTACGTCAATATATATTCATTGAAGTAATTTAATTAATCAATGGGGAAATTGGATTGCAGATTAAATTTTAAATTTTAAAATTTTTTTATTAGCTGATTTTTCTGCAATAAGAAAAGTTGGGAAAATGTGAAGGGGAAAATAAAACAAGAAATTTAATTAATCTAATTTTCATTCTTTTTAGACTGTGAATTACAATTCAGAAAGTTAATGCATTAATTCCATTGTCTTATTTTCATTTTTAAACCCTAGCTAGGCCAGGTGCTTCAAAACCCTAATTTGTGCAGTGGGTATTTCAAAATAGATAGAAAGAAGAAGGTAGCTATAGTTATAGTTATAGTTATAGTTATATATCTTATTTTCATTTTTAAACCCTAGCTTAGGCAGGAGGTTGCCTCAAAACCTAATTTGTGCAGTGGGTTATTTTCCAAAAAGATAGAAAGAAGAAGGTAGCTATTAGTTTATAGTTATAGTTATAGTTTAATATATTATATATATTATATAATATATATATATATATAACTTTAATATATATATATAACTTTACCTCGATAACTTTAAATAACTGTTAGATGCTATGATTATGGTGTAAAGACCTCTCTTTTCTCTCTCTTAGTCTCTCTCATGCAAGATCACAGTCATTCATATATATATATATATATATATAGCTCTTTTGGGATTCTTGCACAATCTTATTCCCACCATGGATATGGACTCAACATCTGAGAATTTACAAGAACTAATAATATATTCAATATATGTATAAATATATCCTTTTCAGGATCTTTATAAGAAAATTTTCCTGATTGAAGAGCACAGGACATTAAGATCATACAAAACTGCTTATTGGGTATCCTTGTTTGTTGTTAATTTCTAATTGTTATTTAAGATCTTATATATTATAATATATATATATATATAATGGTTTCTAAGCTGCTTTGTCTGATTCTTCATTTTGTAATATTAATTTCTTATATAATGGTTTCTAGCTGCTTTGTCTGATTCTTCATTTGTAATATTAATTTTTTGTCTCTCTTTTTTTAAGCTTCCCTCATTATGTTAAAATGTCCCTTTCTTTTGCATATGCTATATATATGTAATTTGGACTTTTTACCAGAAACAGATTGTCTAATTTGTCTGCTTAGTCAAATTAATCACAGTTTGAAATGCTACTAATACATACTACCCCACAATCAATGTTTTGTAACTAATACTGTATGTTAGCTAAGGGATTTTGTAGAAAAAAAAAAATTCTATCAATAATTGATCAAGTAAGTCAGATATCACTTGGTACATAAGTGTGATAATCAGTGGGAATTATTAAATATGTAATTAATAATTGAAACATATTTAAATTTATTTTATTTTATTTTTTCGAGAACAGCATTTTCTATTATATCCATTAAGTAGATCCAAAATCAAAACAAATATTTCTTTAATCTAAGTGCTTTCAATGCTTTTGCTTTGCCGTTATCTATAAATTATGCTTTGTCTTCTATAGCTATATCAATATTATTATAACTTGAGGGACTCTTTTATTTATTTCTTTTCAGGCCCTCAAAATTTTCAAAGTCTTCGCATTTGCCATTTCCACATTTTGGAGCTATCTCTCTATCAACTCTTCCTTTGGATTGAGTACTTCCTATTGGGATGAAGAAGCAATGTAATCTATACCTAAAACTGCGAAAGATAGGCGAAGTTGGTCAAGATAAAACAAGGGTAAGTCCAAATTTTCTCCTCTTTTTGTTCATTTTAAGTTTACTATCCTGTGAAACATACCCAAGTTTGATTTTAATTATCTTTTCCATGTATTATTTTTCGGATATATGTATTATCGATGCGAAAACTATACATATCCTCGTTAAATTTTCTCAATTTTTTAATCTTCACTAGTATAAAAACATAAATACATTGTGATATTCTATGGAAATGCAATCTAGAGAAAAAAAATTAGGTCTAAGAGTACATATTTAACCAAGTACTTGAATGTATATATATATATGTCTACATATTTTTGTGGGTCATTTTGATGCCTTGAAGCAAAAGAGGGGCAATGAAGATATGTTAATGAATCAGTTTTTCCTTTCAAAAATTTAGTATCCCCCACCTACATATAATGCAATGTCCCACATCTTCATAATGTGCTTTGATTTTTATGTTATATATCATTGGATTCCTTTTTGGATACTTCTATCAGTAATTGCATTAATCACTTTTCTTCCATTAATTAGCATACTGCCCACTTCAAAGTAATCTCCTATTTTTTCTTTTCTTCCTTCACATTTTGATCTTTTCATTGTTGTCTTTCAAATTGATAAAAACACGAAAGGATTCAAACTAAAGACCTCACACTCTCTAAATTCTTGAAAAATAATTAGTTCAAGTGCCACATTTTATGGATTCGTGTCTTTGGTGATCTAATGTTTCCATTTTTCAGATTATCCTAGCTAGAGACAAAGTGTAAAGCTACTATCATCCATCTAAATTTCATAAAATAACTCATTGATCATAAATTTCTCTCATTTTCTCTTATTTTCTCTTATCATCCATCAGATTGTCCTAGTTAAATCAAGTTATTTCTAGTTCATGTTGGAGGGATATCCTGCATTAAATAATCATAAGATAATGGAATTACTTATAGAAAATGAATAATGAACCTTGTACAAAACCAATTGGATTGTACTACGTTAACTACCTATAGCATTATAAATTCTTGAATTATTTTATTACTATTGAATGTGAGATTCATCTTCAACAATTTATATTAGGTAAATTTAAATATTAATTTCGAAATTCTAGGATAATCCTCTATTTTGAAAATTTCCCCATATGAAGTTTATAGAATTGTGAGAACAACAGATAATATTATGCATCAATTTTGATCAAAATCTCTAATTAATCCTAGAGATCAAATTCTTTAAACATGAAACATACTTGGTATATTGTTTTAATGTCATAGCATCTAATTAATATATATATAAATACTCAATATTATATATTATATACACTTTAGGTTCTTCACATATAGGTCATATAGACATTATGGACTTAGAGGCTTTGAAATGCATAAAATCTAAATCCAAATAAATAAATAAATAAATAATGAAGCCTTTCAACATACAACAAATAACAAAATGCTCAAAAAATAAGTTAAATCATATATATGTATATGGTTTAAGTTAGGTGCATAGCTATGTGAACTTGCTCCTAGAAAATTTAGGCTGTTAATTGTGCATGCTTTTGTATATCAACTCAAAGGTTATAACTAATTTTCTCTTTCTTGAATGTTAGAAACAAAATCTATTTAATTTCTTATATTTTGGCTAGATTATTATGTTTGCAATTTTCATAATTTGGAAAATAACAAGTAGTTAAATTATAAATGAAACAGTAATTCAGTAATAATGAAAAAAAAATTGATTTTTCATCCTCATTTTCAAGTAAAATCTTGAATTTAAATTTCCTTTATTTCCACTCTTTATAAATATTTTTTAAAAACATTTTATTACTAAAAATATTTCAAATAAATTATCTTCTATTGTATGATTGCAATATTGAAAATTAGTTAAGATTAAAACTTTTTATTTATAAGATTATGAAATAGATACACATGTATAATGAAATAGAAACTTCCCATCCCTTGTTTTTCTCTATAAGATTGAATATAAAGTTTATAAACTTATATCCAATATAGAGATAGTGGCCTTATCTCCATTTCTTTTTCTTCGAACAAAAGTTTTAAAATAAAGAAGGAAACAAACAACACCTTATCAAAAAAGTGACCCTTTAATTATTTGATAATCAATATAAAAGACAGAAGAAAAAATGATTGGTCTTTTTTTGTTTTAAAGACAAATTATTGTTTCAAAAATATATATATATAATTCAGTGCAGATCTCCTTGCCAATTTTGCAACTTCTTCTTTAGATACTCTTCCTCTGAAAATAGCTTCTTTGTTATTAATGGTATCTCTTTCTTTAAATCAACCATGTAGTTGTCTTTCAGCTTTGGCTCTCCTTTTATGTAAAAAAAAAGTCAAATAATACTTCAAAATATACTTTCTATTATCTAAAATGGGAAAATGCTTCAAATTTTGGAATTATTTTCTTTCTCAACAATGAAAATATTGCATATAGGGAACTTTTTTATCATTTTGCTAGTTGATGTAACATCACATTCATTATGGGAAAGTGTTGTGTATTATTTAAATATAGAAATTAGAGAACTGACATATTATTTAAACTAGCTATAAAAGTAATACTATTTAGGACAAAATGTCAAAATTTATACCTTATAAATGTCAAAATCCTCTTTTCCTATACTTAAAAAACTTGTAATGACAAGTTGGGTTGTTCATCTCTACTTATTTCTTATCTGAATTTGCAAAGAAAGGTTTTGAATTGGGCACAACACAATATATCCTTATACATAAGTCAATCTTTATTATTGTTAAAGAAACTTTTAAAGTATAATTATTAATATAGTGGTTGATGATATTATTTAATGTGCATGAACACTAATCACAAAGGTGGAATCCTCAAACCAGAAAGCCAAAAGATTTAACAAATTTTTTAGAAACATTATATACCCTTCTATAGAACTAATTAATTAACTTAAAAAAATTAAATCAAAATAATAAAAAAAATACCAAAATTTTCTTGCGACTAAGGGATAAGTGATGGGCCAGGGTGTGTCATAGCAAATGCAAGTTGCATAAATGCTAAATTATTAAAAAATAATAATAAAAATGAGATTTATGGACAGTTTGAAGTGGCAGGCACTTCCTAAAATTGCATAAAGACTTGTTTATTTCGCAGTCAAAAGACAATTCTAGCTTCTTCTACTTTTCTTTTTATTATTCTTTCTTTCTGTTTTGAAATTTGGTATCCCTTTACAGGCTACTCTCTTCAATTCTGTTTTTAGTCTAGCTTGATTGATATATATATATATATATATATTGCCATGTCATTTAGAAACAATATTGCCATGATAGGTTTTCTCATTCTGCTCGTCAATATAGAGAGAATAAAACCAGTCTAAATATATGTATATATATATATATACACATCTCTTCTGAAAGATATTTATTCTTTCAAAACTAGTTGCTTTAATAATTCTTGACTATGTATAAATTATCCGAAATTTTGGATCGATGTGAACATAAATTTTCAAGTAAAAGATAGAGTTAGCTCATATTTTGATTGCTTAATGCGTGTGAATGAGTGAATGATAGATAATAAGAAATATCAATGATCTGATTTCCTTTCAACTCAAATACATTATTCATTTTAACTCAATGACCCAGTCAAAATATTTATTCTATTAAAAAAAAAAAGTTTAATTGGTGTTTGTAGTTGAAAGTTGTTGTTTGTGGGTAAATTATACATGCCATTAAATTCAGGATGCAAATGGAGCATTAATTTCATATTTGTATTGGTATAAGATGCAAAGAGTTTTATTTTATAGAATGAAACTGTTCAATGACCTTATTTTCAAGTAAAAGATCAATTTAACTCGTATTTTGATTGATTAATATGTGTGAAAGACAGATAATAAAAAATATCAATGACTTAATTTTCTCTCAACTCATGTACGTTAGCCGTTTTTATTGAATGACTCGGTCAAAGTATTTGTTCAAATAAAAACAAAAAGAAAAAAGTTTAATAGGTGTTTCTAGTAGAAAATTCTTCCTTTTGGATAAATTGTACATTGCAATTAAACTCATGAGCATTAATCCATAGTTATATTGTTACAAAAGGGTTTTATTTTACAGAATCAAAGTGTTCTGTAACCATCTGCCTTGATTAGGTCAAAGATCCCAATAAGAAAGACTCAAAATCCATTGTTAATCCAAGTCCTCCTTTGAATAATTAAGGCAAAATGAATATAATAATTAAGTCAAATATACAAATTAAGATTTCATTTATAATTTGTTTCTTCTCCGTTGATTAAAGAACCATACATATGCATATGAGTATTTATATAATGATTTTCTTTCTGTACGTTCTCATGCATGCATGTTGTCTATGTGTACGCACGTGGAGAAGTAAAAACAATCTTTAGCCTCATTACGACCTCCAAAAAGGATAAAACGTCATAATGAGTACGGTTATGTATAAAAAATAATTGGATGGTTATTATATTTTGAGCTTTCTTTTTTTTTTTTTTTTTTTTTTTTTTTTTTTTTTTTTTTTTTGAAGAATATACTTTGAGCTTTCTATATTTTAGTTAGGAGCATTTGATGTACGAACGTAGTCCAGCATTACAAAATTCAAGATTTAAAAAAAAAAACTTTTGGAGGCCCAATGTATCTTTTTCATCTGTGAATAAAACTTAATAAAAAAAATTGAATTTTGAGAAATTTGGTAACTTCTGATGTAGTTAGTCCCCTACGAGAACGGATCACTAATCTAGAAAGTGAGTATAGGTAATAACAACGAGAAAGAGAACAAATTTATTTATTTCATCTAATTTCTCGTTAAAGAAATTAAATAGACACGATATGACTTTTTATTTTATAATTATCATCAAATTAATAAAAAAAACTATTAAGGATCTAATTAATTAAAAACTTTATAATTTTTAAGGAAAGTAGAAATTTTAGTTTATTCTAAATTATTGTTGATAGTAAATGAGCATAGAAAAAATTCTCAATTATACAGCAATATTTTATAATTTATTTTGTCTTTTGCATATGAAAGAGATCAAATACACAATAATTTCACCCCAACTCATCTCCAAGTGAACATCCCAACATTAAAAATTTGAAATCTGCAGCAAGAGATTTCATGTCTGAATCAAAGAGAGAGAGAGAGAGAGATTTGATGAAGAAAAGAAAAGTTGGCCCACCTTGGAAAAACAATGGTAGAATAAAT